AACAAAGGAAATATACAGAGCATGCTGGTTCAAGCTGCTGGTAATTATTAAGTGAAGCCATAATGCATATTGCCTATTGTGTACTGATTGGCATTATGCAGAAAACCTCAAAATGTTAGCCTAATACATACCTTGTAAGTGAAAGTGTAAGTAAATGTTAGCCTAATACATACCTTGTAAGTGATATCATATGTTGGTTGTCAATCATTCCAAATGCTTGCATTCTTTTACAAGCACCGCCCTCTAGAGTCTTTTCAATCTTTCCTTCTTTTAGGTTAACGACCTTATAATGTGGAAGTTTCTCATCATGGATAAGTCCAACAAAACGAGTGCAATCTTGGGTGAGTCGAATGACTGATGGATAGACTTGCATGCCTGAAAAAAAGTAATATATATAAATGGGAATTATTTCACTGTTTCTTAGTACTGAGTGTTTTTGAGTTTACTTAAAAAAATCAAAATAGAGTATAATTAAGTGTACTGTTTTTTTATAGACATAACTTAAAAATTGCAAAGAAATGCCCATAATTCTTAGAAATTATGCAGGTTCTTTCACAATTTTGATAAAACGACAATTTTATAGGGTCATAGTAATTTTAGGGCATCATTTTTCATACTGCAAATCTGTGATCTTAAATGTGACCTTATCTTCTTGATGATATTATTCATATTGCCACAGGAAGGTCATGTACATATGCGATATTTAATCGTCAGTTTGGACTGAATAGAGAGTTTAAGCATCACGTTTACGGCAAACGGCTAACGGCAGAGAAGAACCAATGACCTAAGAAATGCCTGACCTTATGCTTTAGGTAGTCATTGGAAAGAGCGACTTTTCACGATTATGGCAAACTCAAAATAATCCACTCTCGCGTTGACGGAAACTGTTGTAAACCCCTAAAAAGCAGGTCACGTGATCTTTTCTTCCGTTTGCAGTTTGCCGTGAACGTCATGCTTAGGCTCTCTAATAACAATGAAACAACCCGAACCTTACCTGAAGTCTGTCGAACTTTCTGTTCGGTACAGATATCCCAAGCAGATAGACAATTCTTCATCTGCTTGTAAATAACGGCAATTGCATGTCTGTTATCGCATCCGGGCTGTACCATCGTTACTTGGTCTGCTACCTTGTASCCTTGATGTTCTGAAACAGTCGTATCCTCTTTGTTTTCGTCATCTCCTTCACGTGTCCTGTCAAACACTCTTAGTATGAAATCTTGGCCAATGGCTAGGATTATGTCACCATTGCGAGTGATAATCTTTGTTCGGAAAACGGCGCTGCGAAGACAATTTTCTGACTTGCCCGTCTCCATGTCTGTGACGCAAATTTCAAACATGTCGATGCTCAAGACTTTCTTTCCGTCGTCAGTGACTTGTATGGCTCCCATTCCCTGAGTCCTTTTGAATGTGGTTATTTCACGCACAAGGTTTGCTGTCACAAGATCGTAGATGCGARGATGGTCTTCTTGTGATGCAGGGACGATRATWACTTGATCTTTGGATGAGACTTTCATGTCTTGAATGAGATTTGTTCCATATTCGGACTTTTTGTAGTTGACCTTYACTTTATCTACTTCTCTTCCTTGCTTGATGTCAACGAAGTGAAGGGTATTATCTCCATTCAAAACGTAAACCACGTACGTTTTYCTTGCTACAAGAAGGCCAAATTCTTCATCAACATTTATGCCTTTTACAGGGATGTCCTTGATGACCTTGCAGTCAGACGTCTGCCAKACACGTAGTGATTCTCTTGCAAGAGCAACGAGCAGATTTTCGTCATCTGCATACGAGACAGGCGGTTTCTGGTGATGCGAGAACCATTCGTCCTCGTCCACGGAAAATGTTTTCACTATCGCACCAGTTTGCGTGTTGAGGATATATATTTCATTACCACCAGCGAGAAGGAGTAGGTTGATGTCTTTGTCACTCATGATATTCTTTGTGACACGATACATGGCATTGGGAGACGTGACTGCGAACTTACGAAGCTGTTCACCTGTCTGGAAATTGATGATCTGTATTTCTAGACCTTCCCCTGTGACAGTTGTTGAAGCCATTGTCTGATTGTCATTTCCAATGCTGATATACTCTTGCCCATAGTTCCCAAGTGGAATTGTCGATACTAGTGCTCCACCAGGGGCTGTTAGAAATTTGTGGTTCGGTATAAAGCATGGCGAAGAGGCGTTCTTTGCTTGTTGAAG